CCCTCCTCCTTGAAATTCGGTCTGCGCGGTCCTACATCAAAGCTATGAGGTCTCGGAGAGGATCCCGCAACAAGTCCCTGTCCACGTTCGTGCTCCGTTGCCGCCCGGCCCCGCCGTTCCCCACAATGCCCAAGTCTACTCTACATGGAACGCTCTTCGCATCGACCTACCCTAGAAGGTTCTCGTCGAAGTCGATCCCCGCGTCCAGGAGGATGTTGAGGAGAGTGCACACATCCACGAATTGCTGTGGCAAGCTCTCCATGTTCGTCTTATGGGTGCGCAAGAAAAGACGCCACGTGAACATGAGTCGCCCGAACGCCCTCTCCACACACCCCCACGCCACCTTCTGCCGCGTGTCGAAATGCTCCTCGTCAAGACGTTGATCGATTCCTACGTACCACTGGGCGATCCATGGACAGGCAACTGGATAACCGTTGTCACCGAGCAGGTAACCTCACGTGATGACACCGTGAGGCAGATTCTCCGGAGGTGCGTCAAACAACTCGCCACTTTCTGCACGCCTCCACAGATGGGAATTGCACAGGACACGGACGTCGTGCACACTTCCCGGGTATCCTATGTGGACGTCAAGGATACGCATATCCAAATCCACCACCACTTGCACTTGGACGGAGAACTTCTGTTTCCGGTCGTAGTAGTTGTCCGAAGGTGCGCCGGCGGGCTTGTCAATGTAGATGTGTGTACAGTCGATTGCACCGATGCAGTTTGGGAAACCCTTCTCACGGAAAGCGCGCAAAATCTGCGCACGTCTCCAGCCCACTGGCCAGTTGATCGCGTCGAGGTACGCCTTGAGCAGCGCCGAAGTGACGTCGTGGACGGCCTGCAGTCCAGTTGCCCTGCCGATGTCGAAGGCTAACGTGCCGATATCGTACGTCTCTCCAGATGCCCACCTGTACAACGCGAAGCGATCACCTGCTCTACTGGCAATGGCACCCTGTAATGTGTCACGTTCTTCCCCACGTACAGGGCACAGGCGGCTACGATCTGGGTGAACATGACCCTAGAGATGCGTAACTTCTGGCGGTAGTAGTCCTCAATGGCATCATCATGAAGCCGGAGGTCCTCCCATGTCCCGCCAGTCCGTCGTTTAATCCACCAACGCGGGGTCTGCTGCGGGAAAACGTCAGACGACAGCGTGGAACACAACTGCACAACTGCTTCACACGTCGCCAAGCAATACGGCGCTTCGACAACGCTCTGCAACAGTGCTCTTCGTTTACGGAGCTGCAAACGCATGTCACGGGAGGAGGACAACATGTCGCTCATCATGTTCAGGAGGACGACACTCACTGCCATCGCCACCGCGTCGATCTCTTCTTCATGTAGACTGTGCCCGCAGCCGCGAACGTTCATCTCTTATAATCGTTCCGCCTCTACAGTGTAAAGCGTGCTACAGCCGCCGAAGATCCGCCTGCTACTCAACCCTGCCGCAGGTGACCACGCATGCCGGAGCCAAATATGCACCCGCTGCTCTACGCCGCCACTGTAGAGTACGCAAGCCGGAACCGAAGATGCGCCCGCTGCTCTACGCTTGCACAGGAGAGTACGCACGCCAGAGGTGAAGATATGCCGTCGCCAAAGATGCGCCCGCTGTTCACAACTCGCGCAGACTTGAAATATGGATACCCACGCCGAAGGGTTCACCAGCGCCGTCTTTTCTACGTCACACGCATCGCCTGGCCGTACTCCGCCCCGCCACCCTACGTCCGCGAAAATTCTTATTTGAAATTTCAAACTTCTGGCTAACAGCGCTTTTCATCGACCCGTCCTCACCCGCCGACAGCCCACCGCAGTGTGTACCACCGACACGAGCCAGGAATGGACAAACATTGGCGACGCGGCTGCGTATACGCATATGAACCAGCCGCAGGAGACCTTTTAGGACGAATCCTAAAAGATGATTTTTACGATTGTGTGTAACGAAGCGGCTAGAAATCCTAAAAATCCTTTAGGACTCGTCCTAAACATTTTAGGATTCTTTTAGGAGTGTCTAACGAGACCCAAATACATCGTGCCGCCCACACACGAGGATACACAGATGTCGGGAGTCACATGTCCATCGGTCCGTTCCTGGTTGTCGATGTAGTGTGAACATGGACAAATACGCTCCTCATCCCACCCTTCTTACGGTAAGTAAAATATCCATTTTCTGCGTATCCCACCTTGTTCCTTGAACACCGGGGCTCAGATGTGAACGGAGGGATGTGAAAACGGCTTAGGACGTGGCGTTCGTGGAGTGAACATCGGGAGGTCCGTTTTGTCGTTTTCTGAAAAGGAACGGGCCTGTACCCTGTTCCCAAAAGGATGGCGTGTTTTTATGTTTTCTTTTTCTTATCTCTTTTGCCCGTTACCTGGCCATGTTCGTCAAACAAAGGCCGCAACAACACAAAGGCCGGCGCCGCCCACGTAATATCTCCTGCAATAATGGGACGGTGGAGTACAAATTTTCTTTCACGGTCCGAATGCTGCGGCCCCTCCTTTTTCGTTTCTTTTCGACTTCTATTTACCGTAAGTAGGGTGGGATGAGGCCCTAAGAAGCACTTTGAGGGACACAAACACAAACTCCTCTACCTGCCATTGGCTGCTGCTTGTAGATAGGTTTCAATTTTTTTTTTATTTTTTTTTTTGAAAAGTTGCAAACATTTATTACAAGAAGCAATGGGACGAGACCGGGGACCTTTTAATTTTACCCGGAGTTAGGGTCTCATTAGACACTCCTAAAAGAATCCTAAAATTTTAAGGACGAGTCTTAAAGGTTTCTTAGGATTTCGCGCGGTGTCGTTACACGCAGTACTAAAAATCATCTTTAAGGATTCCTCCTGAAAGGTCTCCCGCGACCTGTTTTCATATTCGTGTACGCAGCCACGTCGCCGATGTCTGTCGGGTCCTGGCTGGTGTCCGTGGTACACATTGCGGAGGCCTTGGGTGGGTGAGGAGGGGTGGGTGAAAAGCGCAAATTCAAATTCGAATTCTCGCGGACGCAGGGCGGCGGGGCGGAGGACGGCCAGGCGACACGTGTGACGTACAAAAGACGGCGCTGGCGAACCGTTCAGCGTGGGTATCCATCTTCCGACTCCACGCAAGTTGTGACCAGCGGGGGCATCTTCCTGTAAGGCGCATCTTCACTTGCGCCTTGCGTGCTGTCCTATGGAAGTGTAGAGCAGCGGGTGCGTTGTCGGCTCCGGCGTACGCCATATCCTATGGCAGCGTACGGCAGCGAGCGCATCTACGGGTCCGGCGTGCGTGGTCTCCTGCGGCAGGGTCGAGCAGCGGGCGTGTCTTCGGCAGCTGTGGCAGGCGTCACGATGTGGGGGCGGAACGATCCCCAGAGATGGATGTTCGCGGCAGCGGGCGCCGGGCACGGTCTGCGTGAAGAGGAGATTGACGTGGTTGCGATGGCGGTTAATGCCGTCGTCGTGAACACGATGAGCGACATGTCGTCGTTCTCACACGACATGCTGACGCAGCTCCGTAAACGAAGAGCGGTGTTGCAGCGCATTGCCGAAGTGCAAGATTGAGTGGCCACGTGTGAGGCAGTTGTCCAGTTGTGTGCCGCGCTGTCATCTGGCGTTTTCCCGCGGCAGACCCCACGTTGGTGGATTAAACGACGGACTGGTGGAACATGGGAGGATCTCCGCCTCTGTGATGACGCGACGGACGAGTACTACTGCCAGAAGTTGCGCATGTCGATGGCCATATTCAAGCATATCATAGCCGTGTGCGCCGCGTACGTGGAGAAGAAGGTGATGCACTATAGGATGCCATTGCGAGTGGAGCAGGTGATCGCTTTCTCGTTGTACAGGTGGGCGTCAAGAGAGACGTACGAGAGCGGCACGTCAGCCTTGGGCATGGGCAGGGCAACTGGACTGCAGGCCATCCGCGACGTCACTTCGGCGCTGCTGCAGGCGTACCCCGACGCGATCAAGTGGCCAGTTGGCCGTAGACGTGCGCAGTATCTGCGCGCATTCAGTAACAAGGGTTTCCCGAACTGCTTCGGCGCGATCGACTGTACACACATCTACATTGACAAGCCCGCCGGCGCACGTTCAGACAACTACTACGATCGCAAACAAAAGTTCTCCGTGCAGGCGCAGGTGGTGGTGGATTTGGATCTGCGGATCCTCGACATTCACATCGGATACCCCGGAAGTGTGCACGACATCCGTGTCTGCACAATTCCCAGCTGTGGAGGCGTGCAGAAGCTGGCGAGCTGTTCGATGCACCTCCGAAGAATCTGCCGCACGGTCTCCTCAAGCGAGGTTACCTGCTAGGCGACAACGGTTATCCAGTTGCCTGTCCATGGATCGTGCAAGCGTACAGAGGAATCGACCGAGATCCTGATGAGGAGTGCTTCAACAAGCGGCAGAAGGTGGCGCGGGGGTGTGTGGAGAGGGCATTCGGGCGGCTGAAGTGCATGTGGCGTTTATTCTTGCGCACGCACAAGAAGAACCTGGAGACCTTGCCACAACAATTCGTGGCCGTGTGCACTCTTCACAACATCCTCCTCGATGCGAGGATCGACTTCGATGAGAACCTTTTGTGGGAGGTGGATGAGACTGGCATTCGGCATAGAGTAGACTTGGGCATTGTGGGGAACGGCGAGGGCGGGCAGCGACGGAGCACGAACGTGGATGGGACTTGTTGCGGGATGCGCTTCGAGACCGCCTAGCTTTGATGTAGGACCGCGCGGACGGGAGGGGTAGGGGGTGGGGTGGGGGGGGGGGGGGGGGGGGGGGGGGGGGGGGGGGGGGGGGGGGGGGGGGGGAAGGAGGCGAGAGGATGTGGGTTGGTGTGATCGGCAGGCGGGTGGAATTGACACGTGGCCTGTGTCCATTGGCGTCGTGCGCGAAGTTGCTGGGTCGATTGTATGGCGGCATGGTTGTCGTATGTGACTTCCTTTCTTGTTTTCATCATGTGGACAGTTGCGTGGTTCGTACAGTTGTACGAACGTTTAATATTGGAAGAACCTTTTTTTTTTTTGTCTCTCTCAATTTTTTTTATTTTTTTTATGTGTGTCTTCAAATCGTCTGTCTTGAATGGTTTGATGTGGTGGGAAGTTTATATATTTTTTTATTTGTATCTCTTCATTTCCTTTTTTTTTTTTTTTGTCTCTTCAATTCGTTTGTCACGAATGTGTTCGTGTGGTTCTCTGGCGGGACGTCAAACGTGGGTGTTCAAATTGTTGATGCAAGCTGCTTAACGTTAGTTAACGACGAAACACAAAAACAGAGAGAGATGAACATGGATTGTGTGCATGCATAGGAGGCAATCATCTGCAATCATCTTTAAATCATTCCACAGAAGAGACGAGAACAGCGGACACATCACATAAAAAAAAGGGTGCGCTAAAAGCGCTATGAACTTCTCGCGCAGCGAAGTGCGATTATAAAAACAGAATACAGGACGACATTCATTGATCTCGTCGTCGACTCCAACGAGCAACGCATAAAACACCTGCACTAAACGCAACATACACCATTGAAATCAATCAACCCGTTTTAATGGCACAACCGACACGCTAAACATATGCGCAACCGACGACGATTCTGCCGAATCCCTCTCACCGACACACTAAACAGGTGCGCACTTTGCGACGGTGCAACCACTGTGAAGCCCATCACGACCAGCCACATGTACATGCGGCCGCGTCCACACAAGTAGCCCCCCCCCCCCCCCCCCCCCCCCCCCCCCCCCCTTACGCGTCAACTTTCCCCTCGTTGTTGTTGTCATCATCAGGGGGGCCCGAACCCAACCAATCTAGCTTCTTCGCATCCTCCGGCCCTGTTATGCTCGGGTCGTGCTTGAAACCAATGTCGCAGGGTGCCCATTGAGGGATGTAGTTGGGGTACTGTCCGAAAGTAGCGTTCGCCTCTCCGAGCCTCTTTGTGATGACTTTCGCGATGCGGACGACGGATCGTCGATCATCGAAGGAGCGATGCCTGGACGTGACGAGTGTGGGCTTCGCCACGAGGTCCGCGAAGTAGAAAGCCTCGTAGTGGCTGCGCGGATCGTCCCCCGCCACGCACATTATCCACATGCACGCCGCCAACAACGGCCTGAAGCAGTCAGTCACCCGACAAAGACGATCGTGCGAGATGAACTCGCCGTCGATGAGCACCCCCATTTGCACCGCCACGCGGAATGCATGCGCGACTCAGAAGACGGTGGACTCCTAGTGCGCCGCCATGTCGTCGTCGTCCGGTCTGTCCTCGACGTTGGCGCCGGCGAACCACAGTGGCAAGTCCATGGACAGATCTATCGTGTGCGCGCAAACTGCCGGACTGACGACGTCAGACCACTCCTCGTCGTACCATATAACACGCGCAATGTTTGTAGCAAAGGATTCCATCGAGTACTGGAAAGCCACATTGTATCCCCTTGGGCGGTTCCCGGACTTGAATACCCAGCCGTGCAAGATGCGCAGAGCAATGTTCTCCACTGCGTCGCACAGGAGATCGCTTGTTGCAGCTGTGATTGGTCGACGATCCTGCCTACGTGCGTGCTGGATTTGGGCAGTACGACGCTTCGAGGGACGACAGGCCGTGGAAGTCCGCGGGCGATGGCGACGAAGTACTCTCTCGTATCATGGACGATGTTGTACAGTATTCGTCCCTCCGCGACGTCCCGAAAGCTTTGTCATCGACCCAAAGGACGGCACGATCGATAAGGTCTTATGTCATCACTCCCCTACGTACCCGGCTTGAGCCGGGCTCGCCGCCGTCCCGATCGCCTTTTTTCTCGCCACTCGCCTCCTCTCTCGTCGTCGCCACAACTGCTGCCTCCTCTCTTGCCGTCGCAACGAGGGCCACAGTGTCTGAACCAGCCGCCCCCGCAACACCTGTCGCTTCGGCCCCAACAGCGCGCGTGTCTGCCATGACTTCCCCCCAGCCGCCGCGTTGGACGGACCCTCCGTCACCACCCTTGTTGCACTAACGTGGCTGAGACGGCGTGGCGGGCAGCCTACCCGAGACTGGCCTTTCGTTTACAGCAGCGTGTGTCGTCACCATTGGCGGTGGGGTCGCCGTTGTACGAGTGCGCATGCGACGTCTATCCAAGGGCTCGTCATCCTCGCCGCCAAGATCGACGACGACAACCTTCTCTGTCCGCATTTCGCGGGCACGCAACTGCTGCGCCTCGGGTGGAGGGGTCAGCATCCTCTTCCAAGCGCTCTGATCAAAAGAGCGTTGCCGACCACTCTCTCGTACTGCAGACGTGATCGCCTCTGCCTGCTCCTCCGCCATCGTGAACTCTTCGTCGTAGTCCCCTTCCACTGCTCTTGCCCAACCTTGAGCTCCACGACGAGGCACCCTTGCCGATGCATCTTCCCAATGCACCCTCTTCACTTTCAGGGCATGCCGCCGACCTCTTCCCTGCCCTTGGCTGTTGTTAGGGACTACACCGCGCTTCTTCCCACAGGTGTTCCCTCGCGTAGACATGCTTCGATGCGACCTCTGCAGGCGAGCTTGGCGGTGTGATCGGATGAGCGGGATTCGGGAAGTGCTTCGCCGACCGCTGTTTGAAGTGTTGTCGATCTGGCGATAAATATGTCTCTCGTGCTGCTGTGGTGTGACGACGACGGATACCCCCTCGACGCAGAAGATCTGTCCTCCGTGGGAAGCAGACGACGACGTGCACGTGGTAGACAAAAGGACGACGATCCTGGCAAGAGTACTCCACGACGAAAAGACTGGCGGCGAGAAGAATAGAAGAGCGACACTCACAGTTATCCGCGGCGAGATGATTGACGGGCGACGTCGGCGTGGCAGATAGAAAGACGACGACTTCACCGAAGACGAGATGGCTAGAATGGCGTCGGCGGTGGTCGTCCAAGGAACTGTAGATGTCCGCGCGGAGTGGGCGACATTTATCCGCGGCGAGCAGGCTTGTACCACTTCCACGTCGTTGAGGTCGGTGTGCGGCAGGCGCGGCGGGCTTCTGTACTGGAGACACCTTCGTGCGGACGACATACATGCGGGTTGGGATGCGCAGGACTTAAGTACTCTATTGCAGATAGACCTCCCGCGACGTCGCTTCTCTGTGGCGGGAAACGACATCGTCGACGGTGGCACGTGCGGCCGCCCTGCCCAGCCTGGCGTGTCATTTCAATCCTCCCCAAGGCGCGAAAAAACCCTTCGACGTCCCTGGCAACGCGCATCAATGCACTCACCAGGGACCGAACCCCTGGCCACCCCATTGCGTCTACCCCTCGCAGCCACCAAACATCCCC